ATTGGCATAGCATTAAACTTCTTATCTCTGTTCAGGTAATCTGTCAATTTCATCCCACTAGTTATACAGCCAAATTATTGACAAAGAAATCAACTCCCATCCTTCTGTCAATCTTCCAATTTCAGTTCCCATTCTTACAGCAAACATTGGCTAGAAATCAATTTGACATTCTGGTACTATCCCTTATCTAAGAGCAAGTTGGTCTAGCTTCTTACTGATTCACATTTCCCTCACAGTTCCTCCGAATTTTGAATGTTTCAAGAACCTTTGTCTTCGATTATCTAGGAAACTACTTAACAGAGTAGATTACTTTTACTTTATTTTAAGTTTAAGTCATAGACTCAGTAATATAATAATTCGCACAATATCTTGAATGATGGATAAGAAGAAAAAGATATCACAAAATTCTGTTTCTCGAATGTGATGATTTTTCCACAGATTCATTTTCAATGCCCAAGGTGAACAAGTATCGGAAGATAATAAAGGTTTTTGGTTATACATATTACATTAAACCAAATTACTGAAACTCAGAGAAGAGAATCTACATGATACTTCAAACATAAAAAGAGAATCTAATTATCCAACTAACAATCTTAACTTGTTCCCTATATCTGCCTCAGATTGAGACTTAAGATTAGTACAATATTTAAGGTACTATTAGATTACAAATCTCTTCTCTAATGATTTTATCATTCTTTCTCAATGCAAAAACTGCTTTACTATTTGTAACTCTTTGACTTCATCCCCTTTAAGTTTTGGTCAATGTCAAATTAGTATGTACCTTGGTTTATTGAGTTAATTTTTTTGATTACTTTTGTCGTATAGGAATTTCATGGATAAAGTAGATAAAAGTTGGATGCATCTCCTAAGATGGACAAATGAGTATATACGTGGAGTAAATGATTTCCTTGATAAGGCATTTGAACGAGCTTCACAAGGAAATGAAATATTATGTCCTTGCCAAAAGTGCATTAATCGCAATTGGCATTATAGAAATGTGGTGGAGGATCACTTGGTCGTTAAAGGCTTTGTTAATGGTTACATATAATGGGTTTTCCATGGTGAAGGATTTTCCTCTAGAATTGCACCTCATCAAAGCAATAATGATGAAGGTTCTAACATGCATGATGATATTGATGGATTACTTCATGACATATTCAGAAATATAGAAGGTGAGCCGGTACAAGAAGAAGGGATGAGAGAGGTTCTATCTGAAGATGCTAAGAGATTTTTTAAATTATTAGAGGAAGGGAAACAAGAATTATATCCAGGGTGTGAAAACTTCAATAAACTGAGTTTCACCATCCGGTTGTACTTGTTTAAGTCTTTGCATGGGTTGAGTAATGTAGCCTTTTCAGACTTGTTAGAGTTGTTAAAAGAGGCATTTCCCCTTGCTAAGCTGCCAGAGTCTTTCAACAAGGCTAAAAATACGATAAAAGATTTGGGTCTTCATTATGAGAAAATACATGCATGCCCTGATGATTGCATGCTATTTTGGAATGACAATGCAAAGGCCGATAATTGCTCTGTTTGTGGGTCTTCTAGATGGAAACGTTCTAATCGTGCCTTGACTAATGCAAGTTCTAAAGTTCCTGCAAAGGTTTTAAGGTACTTTCCGTTGAAGCCTAGGCTTCAGAGGATATTCATATGTCCTGAAACAGCTATTGCAATGAGATGGCATGCTAATGAACGACCTAATGATGGGAATTTGAGGCATCCTGCTGATGGAGAAGCTTGGAAGGATTTTGATTCACTACATGCCGACTTCTCCAAAGATCCACGTAATGTTAGGTTGGGTCTTTCAAGTGATGGTTTCAACCCATTTCGAACCATGAGCATTTCTCAAAGCACGTGGCCTGTCATGTTAATGAACTACAATTTATCACCATTGATTTGCATGAAGCCAGAATATATCATGTTGTCAATGATCATTCCAGGTCCTTCATCTCCAGGAAATGATATAGATGTGTACTTACAACCACTTATTGCAGAATTGAAGGAACTATGGGAAACTGGGATAGAAACATATGATGCTGAGACAAAGCAAACATTTCAAATGCGTGCAGCCTTTTTGTGGACAGTTAGTGATTTTCTAACATTAGCTACCGCTTTCAAGATGGAGCACCAAGGGGAGGTTGGCATGCCCCACTTGTAATTATGACACATGCTCTCTATATCTCAAACACAGTCATAAGATGTGTTATATGGGCCATCGAAGATTTTTGCCTCATGATCATCCTTTGCGAAAAGATAAGAAGTCATTTGATGGTAAGGAGGAACATAGACCTGCACCTACTCCTTTGTCGGGTGTAGAAGTGTTTCAAGAGCTGCTTGAATTCAACAATGTTTTTGGAAAGGGCAAAAAGAAAAGACCTCGGGATAACAAGGGTCTGTGGAAAAAAAATCTATTTTTTTTGAATTGCCATATTGGGCGCATAACAAATTGAGGCACAATCTTGATGTGATGCACATCGAGAAAAATATATGTGACAGTTTGCTTGGGACTTTATTGGAAATAGAAAAAAAGTCGAAGGATCATGTAAATGCTCGCTATGACTTACAAGAAATGGGGATACGAGAGGAGTTACAACCAAGAGAAGATGATGATGGAACAGTGAGTTTGGCTAAAGCTTGTTTCTACATGGAACCAAAACAGAAAAGTTTATTTTGTACCGTCATAAAAAATGCCAAGTTACCAAAAGGTTGTGCTTCAAATATTTCAGAACGCGTGCAAGTGAAGGAGATGAAAATATCAGGGTACAAGAGTCATGATGCTCATTTTATAATGCATTACTTGCTACAGGTTGCTGTTAGAAAGGCGTTGCCCAAGAGTGTTTCATTGGCCTTGATTAGGTTGGGTAATTTTTTTAGAGCCATATGTAGTAAGGTTATAAGGCGAAGAGACCTTGAAAAAATGAACTCTGAAATTGTTGAAATAAATTGTGAGCTTGAAAAGATTTTTCATCCAACATTTTTCGATATAATGCCACATTTGCCTATTCATTTGGTGAATGAAATTAAGCTTGGGGGTCCAGCTCATCTTCGTTGGATGTATCCCATTGAGAGGAACCTATGTAAATACAAGGCATTTGTTCGTAATCGATCTTGTCCAGAAGCATCGATAGCAGAGGTATTTTTGGCAGAAGAGTATTTGATTGTTTGTTCAAGATACCTACATGACAATGTGAAGACAAGATTCAGTAGATACCCAATTGTAGATGATGAGTGCCCTCAACATTTGTCATCTATATTCCCTGTTATAGGACATCCAATTGGAAGTAAGAAGAAAAATACTTTTCTCATGGATCCACAGTTATGTTATGAAGCACATCGATATGCTCTGTTCAATACTGGAGATGAACAAGTGGAAAAGTTTATCGAGTAAGATAAATTATATAACACTTATACTATACTTCATTTTTTAGTGATATAATTGATCTTGAAATATTCGTGATTGCAGGGAACATAAGAATTTAATTGATAATCGCAGTAGATCAAATGCATGGGAAAGAGCAAGAAATAATAGTCGGGAATTCAACAATTGGTTTGCTGAGAAAGTTAAAGTATTGAAGTGCCCGATTATGTAAGATGGCTAGCTAAAGGGCCTAATGCGATCGCCAAAAGATATACTGCATATTTCATTAATGGATACCGATTTCATACCGTAGAACGAGATTCTCGATGCAAGACTCAAAACAGTGAAGTGACTTTATCAGCAACAACCGATAGCTTTGCTAGCTCTAGGGACCAAAATCCCATCGATGGTGAGGTTATCTATTATGGAGCTATTCAGGATATCATTGAGATTGATTATTGGGGTTGTTTTAGTGTTGTACTATTTAGTTGCAACTGGTTTCGTAATGAAATAGATGATTATGGGTTAACTCGTGTGTACTTTAAGAAATTATGTAGTACAGATGACCCTTTTGTGTTAGCATCATAAGTTTATTAAGTTTTTTATGTGGAGGATCCTGTTGAGAAAGATGTTTATTATGCAAGGAATAAAGTCCCTGTTGATTTATATGATTTAGAGGAAGAGAATTGCCCCAATATTGAAGACGCATTTTGGAGGGAGCCTAATGATGATATTGGTTCCTTAAGCGGATTAGTTGATGTTGACGTTGGATGCTCAAGAAACGATGTACCCGCTGATGTCGTTGATATTCCATCTAATGCACAACATTCAAATGATACAATTATAGAACCATTGGAAGAGGAGAATGAGTTTGATGATACTGATTGGGATTGGATGGAATCAGATGATTAAAGAAGAAACTTCTTATATTCTTTTAAATATATTCTGTTTAGAGTGAGTAATAATATTTTCTATCAATATTTTAGAATTACTCCTGTTTATATAATTTTAATTATTTTTATATAATATTTCTTGTCGGAATGCATAACCATTGCCATTTCTCTTGAATATTGTCTCTGTACTATCAAACACGCAAATAAACGCTAACATGCAAAAGACAAATCCTTCCTCAGTAGATATTTCACCCCTTTAATGTTTTGATACAAATATAAGTTGCACGTATTGTTTCTATGTTTTAACCTTAACTATATGTCGTATCGATAACTGGAGTATATGGGCTGATTATTTACATTTTCAGGTGGATAGAATCATCCCAGGGACTTTACCATCATCGGCAACAAGATTATAGGCTTATCTAGGTGTAAAGCAACAGCAATTGAGGAATCATCCCAGGACTTTACATTTTCTGTTTAGCTGCCTCATTTATCTCATCTAGGTGTAAGGGCTCGACAGGCGAGTTTACATACTCCTTCATGATTGTAATGCATTAGTAGTTTCTCTGTTTTGTCCTTATTGTTCTATGGTTATTGAACCTTCTTTTTTCAGGTTAGAGGCATCATCAACTGGTGTTAAGTTAACTTCCTCTTTAGCAGAGAAAGGCACTGGTACTTCCCAAAATAAACATCTCTCAGTTACTACTTCATCTTTGGTGTCTCTGATGTGTAGGTCCATATTGTATCTATCACTAAACCATATTGTCACCAATGAAACATACGATATGAGCTATTTTTAGAAGTTCCCTTATGGAAGGTACGAGAGAATATGTAGGCAGTCCAGTTAGTACCGTGGTAGTATCTTCAAGATCGACAAGGCAAGCATCATTTCCGAATATAGAGCCAGTAGATACAGCAGCATCAGTATTTGATGATCCGTCAAGAGGATCAAACACGACAATATAGTTCCCATAGTAACTCTCCTCTACTGCTACTGGTACATCTTCTTCCTCTGACGCTATAATCCCTGTTCGACCACTTGACCTTAGACAATTAAAGAATACCTGTTATTAGGGAGCGGTTTACCCCTCAATAGGCCTATTCGGCACAAATTCCAATTAGTCGAGTTAGTGGAATTTAAATACTGGATGGTTAAAAAAAGAAGCAAAATACAAGAATGTGTTTGGAACCTCGTTAGAGACAATATCAAGCTTCTTTTGGTCCTCTCCTTGAACATTAACAACACCTTGACCTCCAGTAAGTTTTGAAATGCCAGCTCTTTGAACCAGAGAAGCAATCTGCTTACAAGCCATAGAAATACTTGAAATAACAATAGTAAGTTCAGAATCAATAACCCCATCTTGTTCGTGCATCAACAACCAGCTAGTCAATGTCTGCAGCTTATATCCATTCTGATTCTTAGTTTTTATAGCCTCTGCTGCACTACTCTTAATGACCATGCACCTCACTCCTCCATATCCATAGCTTCTTTTTATGCTGTTTTTGGTGCACAAAAAATAAAGTCTTTTTGTGTAGAGAACATAGTTGAAAAAGAGATAGGCAAGAAATGGAATGAAAGCTAGAGAAGCTAATGTTTGAAGTTGGCATTGTGGTAGTTGAAACTGCCATTGGTAATTTTGCTTTACTTTTGATTTTTGCCTAAGTGATTTGTGATCACAAAAATTTCTTTCTCATCCTTTACTACAACAACTATCTCCCAAGTCAAAAGTAATACTACTGTACGTAACTACGTATGTATATTGGATATTTATTTTGTCTATATTTTGTTTCATTTCTCACTAGTTAAAGTTACAATTATTAATCGAACTAAAAGACTTACAGCTTCAAAGTAAGCCCTTTACTGATTTATCTTTGGTGGCATAGCTGTTTTATCTCTTCTATTCATCTTCTTCATCATACCAAAGACAAAAGGGCTTACTTGGAAGAGATTGAGGCCACATATCTCTAGAATTCCCTTCTTTAGAACAGATTGGGTTAGTTCGTTTTTCGTACTCGAATTTGTCTCCTTGTCACAATACCTGGGGCAATAAAGTTGTTTGTAAATGCTCCTACACCAATATACGAAATGGAGGGCTTGTTTTTAGCCTAGTTGTGTATTACATCATAAATGTATTATTGTCATCAATAATGGGTCACTATTTTGTACAAAAGGAGAAATATGGCTTGTTCTGAACCTTGCATGTCTAACAGGTTTGGCGAAGAAGTTTGGAATCTGAAATCGATTTTTTGATTTGGCAGCTTTCAGGAATTTCTATCAGGTTGGTAGCATCTTAATTCTATACCAGGAATTATATAATTCCAACTCCAGCATCTAAATAGATGTCACCTCCAACTGTTCAAGCATGATGTAGAAGCATGTTCTATTCTTTCTTTAGTAAATTGAAACTATTATTTTTATGTAAAAGGCTGATTGATTACAGAAAAGATCAAGGTAACATAGACTTGTGAGGTGTATACAATGCATTATTGTTAATGCTTTGATAACTTATTTCTTATTTAATTTTCTGATTTTAACAGGAATTTGAATAGTCATGAGTCAGGAAGGGCACTCAAGTAAAAACAAAAAGGCTAAAAATTGCATTACAGCCGGATCACTTGCATCTTTGCTGAACCAAAAGGTTTCATTGTTGAAAACAAAAAGAATTGTTCAAGCTACAAGGACAAATGACAAGCATCAGCTGAATTCAATTGAAAAACAACTTCCGCAATTAGGAGCTCAAGTGCAAGAATAATTGTTGCAACTTCCTCTGCCTTCTGCTTCTCCTCCAGCACAAATTGTACATGAGCAAGTGCAACAAAAGTCGCTGAACTCTACCTCTCTTGCATCACAAGCATTACGTGAACAATTGCAGCAAAAGTCACTGGATTCCACCACTTGTACTTCACAAACGGTACATGAACAATTTGAGGATTCTTCCAATCATGAAACAAACAAACAATCCGAGGAACAAGGCAAGAACATATAAATTTTATTCTGTTAAATTAACAAATAATATTGACTTTTGGTGATTATTCTTACTTAATATTAATGCAGGTCCTTCTGCCGAAAAAAGAAAAAGAGTAAAAACTTTGATGCCAAGTGTTCATGGTAGGAAAGAGCGCAAGCTAATTGTGGTAAACGAGAATAATCAACCCATAGGTCCTACTGATGATGTTGTAGCAGAGTTGGGTAGCTTCCTCGGCACATTGGCAAGGAATGCGGCCTTTTGTCCTCTTAATGTGTTTAATTGGAGGAAACTTCAAACAAAAGAAGATATGTGGAAATATATCAAGGTTTGAAGTTCGCAATATTCTGTGTAGATATTTCATATTTTTACACTAACCTAACTGTACCTAATTTGTAGGGAAAATATGGCATTCCTGATGCTTCAAAAAAGTGGGTTTTTGAATCAATTCAAAATGCTTGGAGAAAGTATAAGAATCAATTGTTTAGCGACCATTATAAACCCTATGAGAATGACGAGCTTCGAATGGAGAAAAGGTCGGTTGATGTTCCTGAATCTCAATTTAGGGATCTTCTTAATTATTGGAACTCTGATGCCTACAATGTAAAACTAAGTACTGTCCCATGATTTGCTGAGAATGTCTGGTTTATGTTTAATTAGAAATCACTTAACTCTGTATTCATTGGCTGATTTGCAGAAATCGTCCCAAACCAATACCGAGAATCACAAAAAGTTGAAATATCCACACACTGCTGGCAAAAGAAGTTTTGCTCGAATATGCAAGGTTTGATATTTTCTTTCTTATTATTATTTTAAATATGAACTTATTAACTTTATACCACTTTTTATATAATCAGGAAAAAAAGAAAGAAACTTCTGAGCCTCTATCAAGCAAGGACATCTTTGTGGCCACAAGAAAAAGAAAACCTGATCGAGTTTACAAGGCCTCGTACGCGGATACTCTTAATAAAATTGTACGAGTTATTAATTTAAATTTTTTTGTTATCATTTGTCTGTTCTTAGTTATTGACTCGGTGTTATATACTTTCTGATTTAACAATGACTCAATTTGGTCTTGTAGGCTGAAATGGAAAGAATACAACCAACACAAGAAAGTGAAGATGGCACTCAATCAGTTGATGCATTTGCATCAGTCATGGCACCTGAGCATCCAGGTCGCCTAATGTTGTATGGGTGTGGGGTTACCAAGACTTCCTTAAAAAGAAAAGTGGGAGATTTGGGACCCTCTACTGATGAGGTAATGCAGCAAAAATTGGAGGAAATGGAAGAAAGGATGCAGCAAAGATTGCAGGAAAAGTTCAATGCACAAAAAGATGCCGTGGAACTACAAGTTGCAGTTAAAATTATTTCACAACTTAAGCATCTGAATCCAGATTTACGGGTTGATCCCAGCATGCTAGGTTTCAATGCTCGTTCGCCTGGAGAAGCTTCCTCTACTCAACAAGCTGCTGTGCAACTAATAAATCGCCTATCTACTGGGAGTAATAATCAAGGTCAGTACGTCTATCTTTGTTTGTTTCTTGCTTTCTTCTTCTCCTCCTTCTGCTTCTTTTTTGAAGTTTCACTTAAACTTATTCGGCTTAGCTATAACCTTTGATAAAGAGAATAATTGGCTTATAATATCAACACATGTTGCTTCCTCACACATGTTGCTTCCTCTTTATCTTGGTTTTCTGTACAAAGCCATCTATTGATTGGCAAAAGCAACATCTATTGTGTGGCTGGCTGGTTTTTGTATATTTGTTTCAATTGATTACCATTTGCTTTTTTTTTCTATTCTTTCTAAATCCTCATAGTAGACTCTCTAGATTGAAGGCTTCTGTCAACTAGCTATAGTTGAGCTTCTGTCAACTCTTCTCTCGTTTTTCCTTTGTTACATTGGTCCCAAGAAAGATTTATAAGGGGATTCTCAATCTGCAGATCGAGCAGCGGGCAAGATAAATAACAAAAGGTTTAATTCTGCTGTTGTGAAATGAAAAGTAATACTCACTCCATAAGTTTGTCGACACATGTATCAACAGTCAAATAGTAATGGGGAATGGTTTACTTTGACAGCAGCAACCGAGAAGCTGTCACCTGCACAGATTACACCAGAACTGATATAACTAGGACAAAACCTTGAGCATGTAAAAGAAGTGGGTAAACAAAAGTATATCTAACACTCAATACGCAGCTTGCCATAGGCATTGAATGATTTCATCTCATCTGTGACCTTGACAAGGTCAACAGCTGGCTGCTCCCTAGTAATAGCCTGGCTCACAGTTCTTTATTCCATGCTCATTGCTTCCTTTTCTGCTATTAAAGAAGTATGAACTACATGCATTTTCGTTGAGAAGTGCTGACTGCTTATTCATCTATGTCATTCACATCAGAGGAAGGCACCACGATGTGATTTTGCTTAATGTTAAACCATTTTGATAGTTCAACTTCCATTTATATACCCTGTGGATCATATAGTGAAAATAGGTTGGGCTCTTGCACCCCAATGCTTGGATCTATAAAGTTGTGTTTATAGTATCCTGACCTTTTACATCCCAATCAACATTATTGCTACTATCATTATCCTCGCTGGTGTTTTTTTTGTGTGTCATTTTCAACTTGGAAATTGATCTGATGCTAGAGTGTCTTGAGCAAGTGGAAGGTTGTCATTAATTATCTCAGCAGTGTTCGACATTTCCCTTAAGCAATAGTCCTCTTTTGTCTATGTAATGTCCTGCACTTTAGTAAAGAACTCAAGTAAGGTAGCTAAGTGAGTTAAGGTATTAGTGTGAGACTATACTGGATGCACATAGGGTAATGTAAGACTATTCTGGATGCACATAGGATCCCATTCTGAATTCAGCTTAGCAAAACCAATTCTGGGAAGCTTCTATTTCACTGTTGTAGTGGAGAAATGATGTTTTGCCATATTCATGACATCCTTAGAGATCGACATTCTAGTACATTTGAAAACTTTGTGCTTTATGCATTGTTTATGGACCATACCCATTCTTATAATGATAAATCAACTCTTGAAGGATAATGACTTTATTTATCCTCTTTTGTAGGTGGAGCAATTGAAGAAAGGGAAGATGGAGATTGTGAAGATCTAGACCTTACTTAAGAACTTTGAATTGTTGTCCATGTTCTAGTAATCTTTTGTTATCAACATTTGAACTAACTCTTGAAGTGTTGATGTAAAACTTATGTGATGGGGTTAAAATATTTTGGTTTTATGGAGTAAGTGTTGATGTAAACTTATGTGATTGGGTTAAAATATTTTGGTTTTATGGAGATAATATAGATTATAAAGTGTTTTATCTTTTTATTTATATAAATTTTAGGTTATTACAAATTTTATATATCTAAATATTCATTTACAGCCAGGGCTTAATAATCTAATAGAACCGTTCCAATAGGCCTTGCAAACCGTTCCAATAGGTATGGCAAATTGTTCTAAAATAGTCTACAAGAACCGTTCCAACAGGCATTCAAAACCGTTCCATTAGGTCTTACAAATCGTTCCAAAATGTGCAACAAACTGACACAATAGGTAGTTAAAACCGTTGCAAAAGAAATAAAACCGTTACAGTAGCGTAATGAAACCGTTAAAATATTTGTAAATAAACGTTGCAATAGCTTACATAACCGTTGCAACATATTATATGGTAACGGCTGCCAACCGTTGCTATAAACTATATGGCAACGGTTTGTAACTGTTACAACTGGAAAGAAATACTCGTTGCTTCAGACAGAGGAATAACCGTTGTGATAGATATACCTTAAGCAACGGTTAGGGTAACCGTTGCAAGAACCGTTACTCTAGATCTACTGGCACGGCAGCGTATGTAACGATTGCTAAACCATTCCAATAACTCTATGGCAACGGTTGACCTTTCTTTTGCAACGGTTTTACGGCTGTTGCAATAGGCTCATTGTCCAGTAGTGTATGGTATTTTATTTGGCATGAGTGGAATATGATGTTGAAGAATGCAATTAGAATTACTAAACAAGTTGCAATGTACTTTCACGTTCATAAAATAATAATTACAACAGTTTCTCATAATTTACAACATTATTGAAAGAAAGCGGAAAGGAAAACAATAAAAGAAAAGAAATGAAGAGCCAAGTCAGTTTCGTAGTGGAGGAAGGAATAAATATTTAAAGGCATTTAAACAAATAGAAGCATAAAGTCACAAATAGCATGAAAATGGTAAAAGCCTTAAAGAAGTCCCCATCAGAGTCGCCATGCTGTCGATGCCCCCTTTTTCTCGCGAAATCGGGTTTATGACATTTGGGCGGACAACTCTTTTCCTTTTGGGAATCGGGTTTGCAATTTAGAAGAGTCACCACCTATTGATTGAGTGCATTAGGACACTAAGAATAAAAATAAAACAAAAGAACCAGAGAATGGGTAAGGGCTTGAAATTATCTCGGGGGAAGGTGTTAGGCATCCCCCAAGATCCACTAGTGCGGTTCCCGGCGATGCTATAATTGTGACATTAAATATAAACAACAAGTAAACATACAAGACAACTTTCACATAATGATTGCAAACAAGGGAAGTACAAAAGTTAAATAAACATGCTGAAGTTCGGAGATAGGCGATTTCATAATTATTTAAGGGATATACAAGTGCAGAAAAAGGGGGTCAAATAATTGGTACAAATAATCAAACAAAGGTAATAAAAGAGGTGGAGGTTTGGAGAAGAAACAGTGCTGGAAATCAAATAATTAAAAGAGATTTTTTAGTGATTGAAGTAAAAGAAGAAGTTTAGAGAACTGAAAAATTAACAGCTTTTCTAAAAAATGTTCTGGAAAGAAAAGAAAGTAAACAAATAAAGAGGGAGTGGGTCCTAGGTTTATATATAACCTGGATCACCCCACAGAACACCCGGCAACCATTTATACACGTGGTGCTATCGCGTGGTCATCATATCCATGTCTACCCTTACCCACCCCGTTAAGGTATTAAATCGCAGAATGGTCTCGTTACTTATTGCATGCTATTACCCGCCCCAATCCTATCAGTCCCGGAGGAAGTTGAGACTACTAATCCTAAAGGGAAGGGAGATTGGCTTTTCAGAGTTTTAAAAGGACAAAAGTCTAGTGCGACAAACAAAACACATAAAAACAGTAAAAGGGGAAACACACAACAGTTAAAGGCTTAAATAGGCCTCCTCATTCAAAGCAACGAATTGTTTAGCATGACTTACAGGTACTGGTTAGGTCCTTAATTAAACTTAAACGTTAAGGGGGTGGTTGATTTATCACATATTTTCAGATAAGAAGTCCAAATTAGGCCTGCCTACTGGTTGTAATTATTAAAGACTGGTATAGTTAATTAGTTGCCTAATGGTTTGCCTAGGTGAGACCTATAGGAATGATATCTAACAAGGTAAAGCATATTGATTTTAAGGAAGGAATATTATTTTTAGAAATAAACCAATTCTGCAGATACTAAACGACATTATTACTGATTTTAGACTCGCGGATGAATCAGATTTAAACGATTGCTTCTATAGGCATGAATTCAAAGCGTTACTGATTTTTAAAATGGTTACGTAAGTGTAGGTATCCTATAAGCATGGTATGTAGGATACGATTGACTATTCTTTAACCCATAGATTGTTTGCCTAGTGACATATGCATATGCAGAAGTGCAGAAACTTATAGGCATGACTTCTATATGCGGAAATGCAGATACTTATAGGCATGGTCTCTAATGTGGGAATGCAGAAACTTATAGACATGGTCTCTAATGTAGGAATGAAACAGGATCTCTATATGCAGTAATGAAACAACTTATAGGCAGGATCTCTATATGCAGTACTGAAACAACTTATAGGCAGAATCTCTATATGCAGATACATAAACGAAAAGGTTGTGATTGCAGAAGTAAAGACCTAAAACATGATATCTACCCCATATGCATAACATGAGTGACCCTCCCCCATTTCTACTATACACCCCATAAGTTATTACAAGATTATTACAACTTGAATGAATCCAGAAAAAAGTAAAAAAAATTACATCAGAAAAAATTCCAACCAAGAAGAGCCTAATTTAGACTCCTAGTCTGAAACATGAAATAAACCAACTTCCAAAGATCAGATTTCCAAAGCCTTTCTCATCTTTGGGTGTGTCAAAGTTCCAAGGAGCTTCATGAACTCCAGGCAGTGCTTACACCCAAATACATTGCAGGATCAGATTATAGTGCAGTGTGGAAGAGCCAGCCCTCAAATGTCCAAGTTCAGAGGGAACTCAAGGTCCCCAAGGCAAGGCTCATAGGAGGGGGGCAGAACTTAGAGTCTAAGAGTAAGTGTAAGTGCAATAGAGGGGGAGTTAGGGAAGGCCATGACAGGCTAGTGGTCATGCCCAGCAATTAGGAATGCTGGCACACCCCTGACCAGCCTGTTAGCTAGATTTGGGAGTTAGGACCCATTGAAGGTCAGGTTCGGACCTGGGCAGTAATTTGGAT